GAAAAATTCAAAGTGATTTTCCATACCCTTCTTAAGTTTTACTTAAGCATTTCTCCTATTTATGCTGTAAAGGTCTCCAAATCTAATGTAAAATACATTTGCCTCATGGAAAGCACATGGCTATAGGATGATTTAACTGTCTCATTTCATAACTGAACTATATACTTTTGTTAGAAAATTATTCTACTTTAGATGCACTATTTTGCAGAATGACTATGACACGAATAACTGAAAACAGAAGTGCACTTGGGAGGATAAAGATGGATAAAAATTATCTGTAAAATCCAACATCCCAGTTCTCACTCCTACTCTGCTTAGAATGCTGAAAGAAACTGGAAAGAACATGTTTTATTTTGTTATGTACGTGTTGTTTGGGCTTTTTGTTTGTTTTTGTTTTGGGAGAAATTCAGCACTAGCTATCAATGTTAAAAGAAGGTGGTTTCTGAGGCACAAAGATAAAAGAAAAATGTGTTTGAACCCATTCATTAGTCTCTGCTGGGACTCAGGGTGGTACTCTGGGTTTTCTTGGTGGCAAACCAGTGACATGGATACTGGCATGTTCAAACCAGTTTCCTAAGGTAGAGGAGCTCAATAGGGAATTGAAGAGTAGAACTTTTTTTTCTTCTGTTTTGTTTGTTTGGTTTTGTTTTATTTTATTTTAAGGAAACCATAAGCAAAGCAATCAAACAGCTCCTTAGAGACTAACAGTTACAGCCAGAAGCAACAGTTAGCATGTGGATAGCTGGCATTCTGCCCAATGTGAGAGAGCAGTAGTCTTGGATAAGAAATTACAGATATTCTTCAGGGACAGAAACGTGGTAAGGAATAACTTTAAGTTTAGTTTCTGTCCAGTTGGGATGAATTCAAGAAATGAGCCAGCACATTCACTTGTTACATGTATAGAGGTTGCAATTATAGAGATGTATATTGTACCTTCATTTAGATATTTTCATTTATTTTTCTAATATTATTAAGTCCTGTTTTATGTGAGAATTATTCATTCATAACTCTGCCCTGAATATAAATGTACTTAATTAAAAAGAAACATTTATTTATTTTAAAAAGTTTTAATGTTAAGATCTTGAAATAATCACTTAAAATTACCCTGCATGTATTCCAGCTCCCTTTCATTCAATCAACATTGACCTTTAATTCACAGAATTTGTAATGAGGAGATATATTCACAAAGATCTCATTATTATGAATAAAAGTGCAGGAAGGAAACTTCAGTAGCTGTAAACTTTTGTAGATTTATTTGCTGAAAAAAGTAACATAGGACCAAAAAAGTATAAAAAGAAAATTTCAGTGATTGTAAAATATCTTATTTGTGGTTATTTGTTGAAATAAATTTTAGTAAATCTTTAACCTGAGAAGTATCCTACAAAATATCCCAATAACAAAGTTCACATTTTCAAAGCAAAATGTGAAAAAGTACATTACAAATTAGAGTGACTTTCCCCCAAACACTAGTAATATGTAACATGAATGTTAGCATACCTTAGGCACGTCAGGTATGCTAGGTATTAAATTACACTTGGAACTGATAATACAAATCTGGGTCAGAATGAAACAGTTTAAAAAATAGCAATAGAATTGGGAGGGCAAATTATAAGAGAAATCTTGAAGTTACTGCCGGTGTTATCAACTTAATAAGGAGAATATTGCAATAATACCTCAGACATAACTGATGAAAAAGTGTCAGCTATCATTTTTCCTTCTAGGACAAAATGACATATATGTTATTTACAGAATATGTTTCCTGAATTTTTATTTTTGTCAGTCACCAAACCCACTAATTTAGTGGCAAGACAAGTACTAAGTATCTTTGTATGACTTGAAAGGAATAGGCCAGTAATCCAATAATTCATTTCACTAAATAATTAATTGTTTCAATAAACTTTTTAAATGAGGTTGTAATATCTTGTATACTTAAGACCACTTTAAATATAATATTAGTAATCATAGCGGGGAAAGTGTGGCTAAACATGTAGAAATATTATACCTGAGATATGAACTTACATGCCACCCAAAAAAAATTATGTTATTAACAAATGACATTTAAAGAGTAAGGCTAATTAATGGTTGATTCCATTTTGATTGGTTTCTGAACATAGAGAACACAGCTCAATAAGGAGCATGCTTTACTCTTTGAGTTCTGTTTCATATAGAATCATTATGTTATTAACATTTTATTTCTAAATTAAATTCTAAATTTAATAAAAATGTAATTCATTAACTTGTCTTTCATCTAGCAAATAATCCTCATTCTTATTCAATGTTTCTAAGCTTTTACTCCATGTCAATTGAATTTCAAGTAACTGAAATTTAAATTCTATCCTTAGTTAAGAAATTATAATACACTCTTTCATTTGCAAGCCCATTTTTTTTCTTTGGGGGCCTTGTTAGTTTTATGAGTTTTGTTACAAATTCAAGCTTTTTATCATGAATGTGCATCTTTATGTAAACAGGCATTAAATGTTAAGAGTGACCTATAATTAACAAAGAAACAAAGAGGCAGCAATGGTCTAAAGACTCTGGGTGGTGATTACACAATGCAATCAATATATAGATGATATATTATACAAGAGTACACTTGAAAGCTATATAATTTTACCAACCAATGTCACCCCAATAAATTTAATAAAGACAAAAAATAATAAAAGAGTTAAATAAGAGAATGTAAGACACTAAATAAATAAATAAATAATAAATAAAGATGTTCATTTTTTTGCCGGTATTGTCCTAACCCATCAGTAGAGAACATGTGTGGTCATAAAATACCACATTAATTCATTCTTTCCCTGTCAGAGTAAGCTACACTGAGTTTGCCAAATTCCAACACAGGTAGCTCCGTTTTTCCAGCCCAAATTCCTGCTGCTTTTGCAATTGGGTAAATTATTTCTACTTCCTCTCTTTTAAAAAGTTGCTGGCTCACTTAGGTTATCAGGTTTCCATCTCAGTGGCTGCTACATTTCCATCGTGAGTGAATGATCTCTCAAAGGTACTTTGGGATGAAAGGTAGTGGATAAATGTGAAGAATTATATTTTTGTTTCTTCTCTTTGGAGGGATTACTCTATAACTTTTGTGTTTAGCTTGGAGGGCCCTTATGATTTGATTTCTCTTATGAAAAGCGAAGCAGCCACCCAGATGGCAAGCACTTCACATTTCAGCAGAATGTAATTCGATTTGGAAGTTCAATGGAACTCACTTGGAAATGTCCCTCCAGTAATATTTTCCCGCTTAAAAAATTCAGTTTCAAATTTCTGGCTTCATGCATAAACAAGCTGCAGGGGGTCTCAGTGGTGAGTGGCAGGGTGGCAAACAAAATTACTTTTAACAATTTAAATGAAATGTTAAAAATAAATGATATTCATATCTTCTTAGGATTTCACTATAAAAGTAGCATTTACTGTGTAATTTTTGACTTTCAATACCACTTGTCATAATCTTATGAATAATATCCCTAAATTTATTTTGGTCATTCACTTATTTAGGAACCTTAGTGAGTATTCCATTCAGTTAATATTTTATAGGAGGTCTTTTCTATATAGTGAAAGAAAGATGATAAGAAAGTCTCTTTCATACAAATATATTCAAATTTTAAATATATGCATCTTAAAAGTCATAAAAATATTAGGAAAAAACTGTATGAGTCTATCAAATGCATGTATATTAATTCATATGATGCCAATCTACTAGAAATTTCTAATATTTATGGATCAGACATTTGCCAAAAGTATCATTACTAAGGTTTTCATTCCTACTAAGCCTAAATTGACATAGGAAACACTATTCCTATATTAAAAATCTCCCTTATATTCTGTTTACTGACACACACACACACACACACACACACACACAGGTTAGTCAAGGAACTCAAGATTTAAAATATATTTTCTTTAAATTTTATATTCTTTAAAAATATTACATCTCTTTATTTAAGCCTCTGAAGAACCTAATTACTATGTGATAGTCTCATCTTACACTTCTCAAATTGTGAAGCTGAAGTAAAAAATTATCAGGGGGAATTTTAAGTTTTAACTATTTATGTAAAGTAGAAAGTCTCTACATGTTTTCTACACATTTTCATTTTCTGGAAACAGCATGACCTAATATTAGCATATAACTAGGTGCTGCAAGGGTAATAACAGAACCTTGTACATCCTACCATACCTATAACAGAACCTGTCATCGCTGAGAAAACGAATGATTCCTAACAGCAACTATGTTACGTGTCAAGTATCACTCTCTTCAGTCTTATACTTGGGAACCCATTCGTCCATCCGTCTGTACCATCCCAGTGCTGGAATACTTTAACAACTGCCATTTTCAACCCCAAATAGTATGAAAGAGAAAGGAGAGTATTTCACTGTGTCTTAAGTAAAATTCTCACATACTTCATCTAATTAAATTGAATCAAACTGAAATCTAGATCAGGCATGACAAGCTTATGCTATTATTCCAATGTGGACATTGAGTGGTAATTTGCACTGGTTGACCTGTATAGTTTACATTCTGCATTAACAGGAATTTGGATAATAACTTTGAAGTTCTCAATTAGGGTGCTTTTCTGTTGCATTCCACTGATACCGAGACAGGCACCAATAAAAGAATACTACAAGTTCCCCTAAAATCATACAATAACTAAAACAAAGAATGAATATATGCTAAAATGGTTTGTGTTCTCTAGCTAAATGTTTGTAAAATATTCACATAATTGCATTTTGTGAACAATAAATGGGACAATGCAAAATGTCTTATTTCAGGTATTAAATGACAATTTCTGGCTTCAGAATGAGACATGTGTACTTCATAGCAGTTGCATTTGTTTTAGAGTCAAATTGATTCAAGTTAGCATGGTTGAAATTTAATATCTTTGCTCCCAGTACAAATCAACAGATAAGACAAGGTAACATATATAAAGAAATGCCAGAAGAATGTAACTGAGCTTTCAAAATCAATACGACTACCGCCTGATGTCTGAGGCAGCAATAATTACCAATTAAAGTGGAGATGAAGGAAGAACTGGGATCAAAGGGACACCGGCCCCTTCCTCTCTCAGATCTGTGTGGTTCCAGGTGAAACAGGGGATCCTTGAAAGAAAACCAAAAATACCATTATGCAAGTACCAACTTTAATAAGAACTGCTCAGATAAATATATTAACCTTAATTATTTAAAACAGGTATTGTAAACAGGGCACCATGAGTGACATCAAGTTTTTAGGAATAAACTGGGTTTTATGAAAAAATACACAGGTTTTGCAGACCCATATGGGTTTTCTCACTCCTCCCAAAAAGTATACAGGTGATGAAATGAATGAAATTAGCAGTTTTCATCACATGATCAGACAGTGTTTGTTATTCTGAGATATTCCAAAGGAATTAAAATATGCTGAAAAAAGGAAAGTCAAAAGGAGATTTAGTGATAAACATAGACATGGGCTTTTATTCCATAAGACCATTATTGATTGTTTGGACTGTATGCAAAAAAAAAAAGATAAAATTTTCCATCAATAATCAGGAATATTTATTTCTAATCAATTTTATTCTTCATCACATATTCTTTGTATAGACAACTAACATTTACTAATTCAGAGATGGTTACTGTATAATTACTTGACTATATATGTATAAGTAAATGTCATTCTGAGCAATATTTCAGTTTGGCTTTACACAAGTGAGATATTGAAAATTAATATTTCCATGAAAAACTACTACTTTATTGGTTCATACCACAAGCACATAACCACAGGTACTTTCTCAGAATGTTCTCAAATTTCAAAATTCTCATCAACTGATATTTTTATAATTAATCTCCATTAATGAGCTATAAACGGTTTGGATTACAGAAAATTAGCTTGGAAAAGTGACCAAAAAAAAAAAAAACAATATTGAAAATTTGGTAGAAAAAAATGACCGATGAACCTTGAACAACACCAGAGTCAGGGGTGCCTACCCCCTGAAGTCGAAATTCGTGGACAACCATAGTCAGCCTTCTGTATTTATGGATTCCCAGCCACAGATTGAAAATTCAGTTGACTCTTGGTTTTCTAAAAAAAATACGATATATGTGGGCCTGCGCAGTTCAAACCCATTTTGTTCAAGTGTCAATTGTGCTTTGCAATAGAATATTGCTGATCCTGCTCATTGGGACATATATGGGTGGCCTTGCCCATCTGTGAATCATGAAACTATAAATAATACTCAAGTCCTGAGTGACCTTCGAGAGTTGCATGTACTTCTCTTGAACTTTATCTTGACTTTCCTAGTCTCTCCAATCATTCCACTTTATCTTTTTCCTCCTTATGTTGCCATTCTTACTTGATACACTTTCCTCTTTCTCTCCATAATATTCTAAAATCACCATTTTGATTCTGCCTTTCCAAAACCTTTTTGGCAAATGCAGAGCTCACCTGATCCCTATAACCCTCTGAGTCTTATCCTTGAAATTGAACCATAACCTATAGAACAAATGTGTCCTCCTGACCCAGTGTGTGATGAAGCTAATGTCCTGGGCCAAAAAAAAAAAAGTTTTACCTATTTATATGCTTTACACAAATTAGTAGAGAATAAGAACTCCAGTAAATCATTTGAGACATTTTTTGTGTTCACTAACCACAGATGAAATTTGCAATGACATGACAAGAAAACGTTTGTTCAAATGAATTAGAATTATTGGTCCACCCAGCAAATACCTATGCTAAAGGGGTTTCAACTAAATTTGTGAAATAATTCCATATATGGAGGAGGAAGTGATCAAGCCTATGAATATAATAGCTGTTTGGCCCTTTAGTCACTGCCACTTTACAAAATATTTGGAAAAATAGGCAGGGTATACATATTAGATATGTTCAGATACAGTCAAATATCTAAATGTTTGGTCATAGCTATTGAAGAGATATACTGAACTGCTTTTTTTGGGCAGGGTGGGAGGATTTAGTTTACACTGTATGCTCTTGTGCTATTTGAATTTTCCTTTTCTTCTAATTTTTAGTTTTTATTTTTTTTAATTGAGGTATAATTGACATATAACCTTAGTTTTAGGTGTAAAACATCATGATTCAATATTTACATATACTGTAAAATGATCATCACAATAAGTCTAGTTAACATCCATTACCATACATAGTAACAAAACATTTTTTTCTTTTTTATTAGTATTATTTTTTATTAAAAGTTTTGAGGTGGCAACGGTTAGCAAAGTTACATAGTCTTCAAGTGTACAATTCTATAATACATCATCTATATATCACATTGTGATGAGAATTTTAACGTCTACACTCTTAGTAGAACTGTTTTCTTAAGTCACGATTTTCTATAGCTTCAAAATTCTGTAATAATCAACTTTTTTATCTCTATTGATTGATGAAGTTGATTTCTCCAGTGGATATAATTAGACACCTTACACACTAAAATTGAAACTGCAAGAGAAAAACAAGTATATTGCTTATTTATTCAAGTACAATACATTCTTTAACTTTAAACTGTCAAGGGGGTACAACCGCTAGGAAATGCAAACTGTTAAGAATTCTAAGATCAAGAGAATTCCAGATTTTGAAGAACTGCAAAGTTAGATGAAGTCAATATTTCTTAGAAAAGTCACAGGTTTTCATAAACATAAAGCATAATCTAGTTTCCTTGTGGATTTTGGCATATGTCTGATGCAGCCAGTATCTGACATATCAGTGTATTCAACTTCTAAGAGGAGACTTAATCAATAGGAAACTATATTCACAGAGGCTCTAACTCTTAACAGTTTGAAAATAATTAGGTAAAACTCAGAATCATCCTAGAATTTTTAGTTATGTATGAGACACAATTCTGTGCAATATGTAAATCTGTTTGAATCTGTTAAAGGACATACTCTTTGATGAAACCTCAAGTTTGACAGTGAGAATACATAAACGTTGAATATTGAATACATATATATGCTCAGCGATCTATGCTTCAGGTCCAAACTTAGATGTACCTTGCCTGTACCCTTCCTACCCTTTTCCTGAAGACTTCAAATATCTATCTCTCACTTACTTGATTAATGGCTAAAGCTACCTCAGCAAATAATCATTTAAAATAATGAACAAATTAAACATTTTTACCTGATTTTTATATCACTATTTAAAGAACATATTTTTCAATAGATTAGATAGATGGATATCCATGTTAATTTTTAAAATGCATGTTTTCAATGTATACCCGTATATAGCACCACGAGGTACACTTTAAATATCTCACAATTTTACTTGTCAATTATACTTCAGTAATGCTGAAAAATGCATGTGTTTTCTGTAGTTTCTAATTTTTCTGCCCACTAATGATTTTAAAAAAGGCAAACTATTGGAACATCCCTGCTTTAGAAAAGCAACATATTTTTCTGTACAAGGAGAAAAAAAAGTCCAAATCTTTAGAGGATACAATCATCTCATCCATACATAACACTTGGTTAATAATGCTTCAGGAGTTAAATAATACAAAAATGGGAGAAATGTCAAATTAGACTGTAAAGTGTAATACATCTTAAATTTGAAGACTACTGCAATGTGTATTTTAAAGACTACAATATTTTAACAAAATAATAAGGAGTTGCTTTAAACATCTGTGAATTCTATAAATCCTCTGTCTTATCACTTTGCATAGGTCATCTTTGACACTCTCTCCAAACTTGGCTGATTGATAGATGGATATTTTAATTACTAAATTAAGATGTTGTTATCTAGCACAGAAAGCTCTACATTTATTTTTATTAATCAGAACATATCTTTCTGCAGGAGTGTAATATAGGTGCTATCAATGTTCTTTATTTGAACCATTGTATGTCATAAAACAGTAATATTGTGTCTGTTTTTTACTTTATTTTGAATTACTAAGTTAAATGAAGCTGTAACAAAAATGTTGCTCAGTTTGTTTTTTTAAACAAAGGCTATTATGCTGTTATTACTAAAATAACATTTGATAGTAAAAAACTGGTAAAGGGTTGGCATTTTTCATATAAGTGACTTGAGAGTCTGTCTACAACCATATGCAACTTCACATTGTTGTTATTTTGAGCCCAGTCTCCTTTGTTGATTCAAGTAATAGTTCCATCACAAACATTGCCTGTAACAAATGAGGGAGTAGCTTCAATAAACTTCATCTAAGCACATTTTGTGCAATCATAACCTTAAGTCATATTTATATGACACCTCAGAGAAGGTAAACAAAAGAAGCCAATGCCAGTAAGAACATGATCTTTCACGTATTAAATCAATACTTGATGGCGTTGTTAAAAATAATCTGTCTGTAGTTAAGGCTAATTAAAGTTTTGTCTCTTTTATAGCTAGAGATATTAGAGATAATATGAAAACTAAACTATGTTTCTGGCCCCGTTTTATTGCACCTCCTAACATTTCCACCATGCCTTCTGAAACCCTTTCTTCGTGGTATGTAAATCCTTAAGACCACACTCAATTTAAAACATACTTCAACACCTCTTTGCCTTAACTGAGTCACAGCTCCCATACTAGTCAAAATCATAGAGCCTCAAAAATGTCAACGTCCTGATCCCTGGAATCTCTGAATATCTTACTTTACCATGTCAAAAAGACTTTGCAGATGTGATTAAGTGCCTCCAGATGGCAAGACTATCTTGAATTATCCAGGTGGGCCCAATGACATCAGTCTTTAAAAATGTCAGAGAAGAAGAATGTGATGATGATAGCAGAGACCCAACTAAAGTGATGCAATGTGAGGAATACTAGGCCTGCCATTCATTGCTGGCTTTGAAGACGGAGTAATGAGGCCATGAGTCATGAAGTGTGTGTGGTCTCTAAGAAGCTAGAAGAGACAAGGTAAGAGAGTCTCCCCCTAGATCTTCCAGGAGGAAGCAGCCCTGTTGACACCTTGATTTTAGCCCAGTGAAAATCATTTCAGACTTCTCACCTACAGAACTATGAGATAAAAAAAAATGTGTTATTTTATGCCATTAAATTACTGTTAATTTGTTACAACAGCCATAGAAAAGTAATACTCCTCTAGCTCCTATGAGGACACTGCTTCCTGCCTAAGTCCTTTAAGATGGTGGCTCCCTTTTCGCCCACACTCTACATTCTGTAAGGA